TATAGTGTACAAGATATTAAATACATTTATAGTACTTTTTTGTCATTGCTGGAGCTTGGCAGCCTCTTTTTAAAGTCTACTTTCATTGTATGGAAAAACAGCAGTATGAACATTCTGCTGAATATCTTTCACAGAAAGTGAGAGAGAGAAGTGAGGGAACTTCATAGTGTTTTTTTTTTTTTTCCAAGAAATTTGAGGGTAAGAGCACAAAAAAATACCAGGTCTCAAAATCTCCAATACTGGGCTCCATAGGAAGGTCGGACGATAGAAGCCTTTCTCCTTGAGAGAGCAAAGCATACAACAGCGACAGACCAAACTGCAAACAAAGAGTTAATTTAAGATAGCAATACCACTAGGCAACCCTGAGAAAGTGTAAAGCTGTTAAACCTCAAAATATCATCTAACCATGGTCATAATAAAACTACATGAAAAATGGCAAGTGTAACTTAAAAACAACTTCATAAAACCTGACCTTGTTTTGGCAGGCCAATGTTAACCGGGTGTCTTTCGAGTCAGGCAGTGTTGCGGTGAACTCTTTGAGAATTCTGATTAGCTGACTGAATGCAAGTCGATCAATCACAGCACGGAGAGTTGGATACAGAACTGGCAGAGCCTGTGAAGAGGTTAGAGCTTGATCACATATTCAAGATATATACTGATAAAACACAACATTACATGTTCCAGACCTCATCTGTATCTTTGCTCATCAATACTGGGAGGTTTTTGGTCACCACGCCCAGGATATGCAGTGATGCATCATGTGACAGGAAGGGGAGGAGTCTGGCCAGCATACTCTTTCCTTTTGATATTAGTAGACAGGAAATAAATTCCTCTCCAGAGTCCCTGTGATATGGTACACCATAGGAGTATATGAGATCAGAATCTTACACTGTACACTCACAACAGAAAGTTCCAAGTTTCTTACAATAGATTAGTGCACCGCAGCTCATTGTAAAGCTGATCCACCTTCCTCTTAATGTTCTGCATCAACTGCCTTTCCTCATCTTTGTCAGACACTGTTGCCTTCATCTTGTTTGCCTCTTCCACTTCTAACAAAACTATGTACAACTGTGAGAAAGCAAAAGGGTTATACAAAGCAAACTCATATAGGGCTCAAACTAAATCTTACAAGTTACCTTATTGTTGGGTACTTAATACATAGTGTTAAAATGAAAGATGCAGTAGTGATGGGCACTTTCGAAGTACTGCTAATTAATCGGTTTTTAATCAGTGGTTTGGAGCACTTATCAAACTGCCAAAGTCACACGATTTCAGTAAACCAGGCTTCATGCCATAACTATTTTGAAACTGCAATGGTTGCCACCAGGGAGCAACCTCTGTAAACCTATTAATCTCAGATTAGCATTATTAATTTGTAGTTAATAGTCTCTTATTGGCCCTTTTTTAGCCAAGCCCTCCCAGGGTTTCTGCAGACATGAACAAGTTAAATTTAAGACTTAAGACCTTTTTAATACCACCTTATATGAAATTTAAGACCTAAACTTGTAATGGAAATACACATTTTATTACATACATATGTAATATTTAATGTGTATAAATTAAGAAGAAAACAAAATATCATTGCTGCATAAGCTGCACCTGAAGTGGCATTTAGAAGTATTTACACACAGTTTAATGCAGGACATGAATGCATTTAACCTGCAGTTACAAATGCATAAATAATGTTTTGATATATTAAACAAAACATTAAATACTGATATTTGAATATCTTTTCATTTTAAAAATTCTTTAAATGTGAAATTAAAACCACCAGTAGGTGGCAGTAAGTCACTGTTAAGTGAGTCATTGCGACTGAACC